TTGTAGATGCTTGCAGGAGTCCTCTTTGGGAACCTCGTACTTCTTTGTGTTGTGTTTCTTGGAGCAAGAAGGTTCTTTAATTCATAGGTAAACATTTCTTGGATGTACACAAAAGCTGGAATACATATCACATAAATGCTATTTTCTCTCTTCTGTCTTTTCCCCTTGTTATCCTTAAGAAAGAAACAGATAGCTCAAGATATGAATCGATCGATAGTGGTTTACCAATTTATTATTCCAAGTTGTTAGTGCAACTGAATTTGTAAAAACCAGACGTATAACTTATATGCTTCTGATTTAGATTTCTTTGGCACTTCGAATATGTTTTGGATGGATTTAATAATTAAAGCTTTTCCCGAGTACTACGAATAATCTGTGTTTCAAATATACTTCAAATGCTCTATTATTTCATCATTTTCTTCTCCTTATCATTTGTCATTTGTTTATTAGAGGTACCCATTTTACACGCATAGAGAACAATAGATAAAAAACAGAAAACAGGAGATAAAAACTTTATTCATTCATCAGCATGGTTGAAAACTTCTCTAAACTACTCAGATTTTCTCTACTACAACATGTTTTTTCATTCATCTAATATCATTTTTCAGTTCAATTATGTAGCATTGTTAATTTGTTTTGATGTTACTGAAAATTGAAACCATTCTAAACACATTTCTATTGTTAAACAATAAAGTATAAATGCAAACTTACCCGCTGACATTATCTTTAAAATAACAAAACTCGTGCATTGCACGGGCAATGTACTAAAAAAGTTGGCTTTGACATAGGACAACCCCACTTGAATCGTCCTTTTTTATGCAAAATTTGAACTCTTTTTATTTTTATTTTTTTACATTGCCCAAAATATAACATTCCACTCTACCACACTAGCTACAATAACACTTTCATTCAATAAATTTTCTAATTATTTTTTGATGATTTTCTAAAAAAATGAATAATAATAATCAGTCTTGAACCAGGCCAAATAAGAGCATGTACATGAGGGTGACTAGAAGGAATAAAAAATCTTTTCATTTTGTTATCATTTTAAGGTCCTTGTTTGCTTCAGATAACAATCAGATTTTTAGTAAATCTTGATGAAATTTGTTGGAAAGTGAAGTTAAAAAAATTGTGGGTTCCATAAATTTTTTTATTGTAGTTAATTGTTGATTTTTTATTTAAATTTTAATTTACTTTTTGGGTTGAATCAAACATATTTTCAAATGTCAAAATCCACGAGAATTGATATAAGTACAAATTGTATTATCTTTAATCCCTAATGCAAATTAATATGAACACTATCTTGAAATTCAAAGTCCATTTCTGATGTCACTAGAAATGACAAAGTCCCTAGAAATGACAAAGACAATAATCCACCATAGTTAGGTGAAAACACCGACCTTATTGTGAACATTTTCTTAAATGTGACATTAGCAACTTCTCTTGCACGTAATACCTATCACACAAATTATATATAATTAAGACCATGTTTGAGTCCCATTATAATGTTAAGAATATATTTTGGAATAATAGACTGATAGAGAATGTATAGTTAGAAAATAAGGAAAAATTTTGAATTTTTGTGTAATATTATTATATTAAAGAATATATGGCTGAAAAGAAGAGAAAAAAGTATATTTTAAAAAAAACGATAATCAAAAAAGGGCTAAGTTATTTAAAATGTTTAGGCTTTATTTGAGCCCCATTATTTATCAATGAATGCATTTTTTAATAATAATTGATGAAAAATATGTGATTAAAAAATAAATTTTTTTTTAAATTTACGGATAATATTATTTTATTGAAAAATGTGTAGTTAAAAAGAAGAGGAAAACAAATTATTTTAAAAATAATGAGGATCAAACATGGCCTTAATTTATTCTACATAATTGTTTTGAA